AGCGAAGCTCCGGCAGATGACCACTGTCTCCGATTTTCAGTCCAGATTTGAGATCATTGCAAACGAGACTGACGACATGGATGATAACCGAATGGTACGTCTCTTTATTTCTGGGCTTCGTGAAGATATTAAGAACTCTGTTTTGGTCCATAAGCCTAAGAGTTACGAAGAGACACTTAATTTAGCCCATATACATGAGCGACGGATCCAAGCGGAGAAAGGACCCGTTAGGCCAGCTTTTGCCAGATCAACTTCCATTTTGCCTACCCCAAATTCTGCAACCCTAAATCAAAATCCCTCATCTTCTTTAACACCTTACAGTGCCTCACCTTCCTCTTCAAATCGCACTCTTCTTAGAAGGCTCACTCATGCAGAGCTCCAGAGCCGCCGTGAGCGAGGATTATGTTATTATTGTGAGGAGAAGTACTCATCGGGACACAAGTGTAAGAAACCCCCACAACTTATGTTGCTCACTGATGGATCCGATTTGGACCCTAACTTGCCAGAACCGTTTGTCGATGAGGATTTCTTAGTGGAGGAATCACAAGGTTTAGAATTACAAGAGCAATCATCTATTTCTTATCATGCCTTATCTGGGGGAATTTCACCCTCCACATTACGATTCACTGGAAAGGTAAATGGGTCACCAGTCCAAGTTTTAGTGGATGGCGGAAGTACTCACAATTTTGTGCAACCACGTGCGGCCAAACAACTTCAGCTCAAAGTTGAGGTCATTCCCCGTTTTGCAGTTATGGTGGGCAGTGGACAAAGGCTCTTGTGTGAAGGTGTGGTGAAGCAAGTCACCGTATTGATTCAAGGGTGTACTATAGTCGAGGACCTTTATGTCTTACCTTTCCAAGGTGCTGATGTAGTCCTTGGAGTGGCATGGTTGGCTACGTTGGGGCGTGTTATAACTGATTATGCAACAAGAGAATTTGAATTTACTTTACTTGGGTCTAAGTGGTTATGGCAGGGGGATTCACCCACTGATGCTCACCAAATTCAGTTGCATAGTTTAAGGCGTATGACAACGACGGATGCTATTGCTTCATTTTTTTTTTGGCAATGATTACTCCTGAAGGGAGTTGTGCAGGTGAAATGACCACAAATTTGAGTGGTCTATTGGAGTCGTATCATGATGTGTTTCGGAAACCCACAAGATTGCCACCTTCTCGTGTTCAGGATCATTCGATACACCTCGTCCCAGGGGCACAACCAGTGAATGTTAAACCATATAGGTACCCGCACTTCCAAAAGCAGGTCATGGAGCAGATGGTGAAAGATATGCTTAAAGATGGAATTATACGGCCCAACACCAGTCTATTTTCATCACCGGTGTTATTAGTTCGTAAGAAGGATGGCACATGGCGCTTTTGTGTTGATTATCGGGCACTCAATGCCATCACAGTTCGAGATCGCTTCCCTATTCCAACCATTGATGAGTTGTTTGACGAATTACATGGTGCTCAAGTCTTTTCAAAGTTGGACTTGTTATCAGGTTACCATCAAATAAGGGTCAAGATTGAGGATGTGGCTAAGACAGCCTTCCGTACTCATGACGGTCATTATGAATTTTTAGTGATGCCGTTTGGATTGACTAATGCCCCTTCGACATTTCAAGCTACTATGACTGAGATTTTTCGTCCACATATGCGTCACTTTGTTCTGGTGTTTTTCGATGATATATTGGTCTATAGTGCATCTTGGAGTGATCATTTGGAGCATTTAGCAGTGGTATTGCAGTTGTTGAGGCAACATCAACTTGTGGCTAAACGCTCGAAATGCTTGTTTGGTCAGTCCTCTATTGATTACCTCGGCCACATCATCTCTGCTCAAGGACTCTCAATAGATCCAGACAAAATCAATACCATTGGGCAGTGGCTGCCAGCAAAATCAGTGAAAGAAGTTCGTAGTTTCCTTGGGCTAGCTGGGTATTATCGCAGGTTTATTCACCATTATGCAGCTATTGCAGGTCCCTTAACTGACCTGTTGCGCAAGGATTCCTTCAAATGGACAGCAGTTGAGCAACATGCTTTCAACACTTTAAAATCTCGATTAAGCTCTACCCCTGTTTTGGCCTTGCCCAATTTCAGTCAGGAGTTTCAGGTGGAAACTGATGCATCTGGGCGAGGTATTGGAGCTATTTTGTCACAACAAAGCCACCCTATTGCTTTCTTTAGCCAAAAGTTAAGCTCTAGGATGCAACAAGCTTCAACGTACCACCGAGAGATGTTTGCCATTACTCAAGCTGTGAGTAAATGGCGACAGTACCTATTGGGGCGCCAGTTCACTATCCTTACTGATCAACAATCACTGCGTAACTTAACTACCCAAACTATACAGACCCCTGAGCAACAAAAATGGCTCACTAAACTTGTCGGCTATGACTTTCGTATCTCGTATAGGCCTGGAAAACAGAACACAGCAGCAGATGCCTTGTCGCGTACTTCAGAGGCTGTTCTCATGACTATTTCAGTCAATTCTTTTGCTATAGAGGCTGATTTAAAGCAGCTGAATCAGACCAACCCCGAGTTAGTAGAAATACAGCAAGCCTTGAATCTTGGGGATAAAATTTTTGATGATTATCAGTTCAAAGAAGGGATGTTATTTTATAAAGGCAGGATAGTGATTCCCTCGGACTCTCCCTTACGTCATAAATTACTACTTGAGTTCCATGCTACTGCTATAGGAGGACATGCCGGGGTTGCGCGCACATTCCATCGTTTGTCATCTAATTTCTTTTGGAAACGGATGCGCACGGATGTACAAACTTTTGTGGCTGCGTGTCATATATGTCAGCAAATGAAAGATTCTCACCTACATCCTGCTGGGCTACTCCAACCATTGTCGATTCCAAACCAGGTCTTTGAGGATATTGCAATGGACTTCATTACTTGTCTTCCGAGCTCAAAGGGAAAGACCACGATCATGACAGTCATTGACTGTCTCACTAAGTACGGTCATTTTATTCCATTGTCATCTACTTTCTCGACTCATACAGTAGCTGAGGCCTTTGTGGTGGGTATTATTAGGCTCCATGGCCCTCCTCGTTCTATTGTGACAGATCGTGATCCGCGGTTCTTGCATTCTTTTTGGCAAGAGATTAATCGCTTGCAAGGATCCACTTTAGCCATGAGTACAGCCTATCATCCTCAAACAGATGGACAATCTGAGGCTCTTAACAAATGTGTGGAACAATATTTGCGTTGCTACGTCGCTGAGGTGCCTTCCCAATGGGTTGCTATGTTGCCATGGGCAAAATTTTGGTATAATACTTCATATCACACTTCAGCTGGTATGACCCCCTTCCAGGCAATATATGGTCGTGAACCTCCTACTGTTGCTAGGTACATTTTGGGGAGTAGTGCGAGCGGACTGGTTGAGTCCTATCTGTTGCAGCGGGATGAAGTCTTGCACATCTTCAAAAATAATTTGTTGAAGGCTCAGAATCGCATGAAGCGGTTGGCTGATAAGTCTAGGACTGATACATTCCTTGAGGTGGGTGATTGGGTGTATGTCAAGCTTAAGCCCTTCAGACAGAATACTCTACGCTTGCAGCGAGATCATAAGCTTGGGAGGCGTTATTTTGGGCCCTATCAGGTGTTAAAACGCATTGGTCCTGTTGCTTATCGCCTGGAACTGCCTGAATCTGCAAAAATCCATTCTGTTTTCCATATTTCTGTGTTGAAGAAATGTGTTGGCACTCCGGATGAGCAAGTGACTCCTCTACATCTGAGTGTTCCAACTACAGAAGATCTCCCTAAGTCCAACCTTGAGGACAAGGTTGCTTTCCAGGAAGGGAGTAATGTTGTGAATTAGACAATTGTTGACTGGGATACCACTCAGGATGAGCACGTGGGACTGCCACGTAAGACTGCTAGAAAGGTCATTCCTCCTAAAAGACTTGGTGATTACGTGTGGAAAGGGGGAAGTTCACATAAAAATGGGTAAAATTGGCAAAGCAGTAGGCATAAAGCATTGTGAGTGGAGCAGTGCAGGGCAGAGTACTTTTTGTTATCACTGGACACTCTTTCTCTCTCAATTTCTTCTAAGTTCCTCACCTCCTTCTTCTTCTATCATTAGTTTTGCTACTCCTGCAATTTCCTCTTGTATTTCTGATTCTAGGGACTTCAATATATCTACTACTTGTAAGCTGAGATAAAGGGTATTAATATAAGTGTAGTTGGTGTTTCACTCTGTCAATTTGTTACAATAATAATGCAGAAGCAAATTTCATCTTTGAAGATAATGTTAAGCCTATGCATCTGGATGTAGCTGATTTCTTTGTATTCCCTGAAGGAAAAATGATCAGTGACGAGCCCGCAATAATCTAGATAATTTCCTTTTCTGTTTGTTTAGTTGATATGTTTATGTTTTTCTAATCCTTGTAAATATAAATAGCCCTGTTTAATAGTAATATTTTACTTTGTTTATATCTGTTTTTGAAGAAAATATGGATATGCCCCAAACTTCGTTTGGATTAATTTATTAGCAAGATATAGTTCTTCCCTTACAAAAAGACATTGGAATGGAGTTAAACATATATTGCGATATCTAAAGGGGACTAGTGATATGAGTCTGTTTTATACTAACAAAGATAGTGCATATCTTGTTAGTCATGCATATGCAGGTTATTTATCTGACCCACGTAAAGGTCGATCTCAAATAGGCCATCTATTCACATACGAAGGTACTGCTATATCATGGCGATCTACGAAGCAGTCCATTGTCGCTACTTTTTCAAATCTGCTGAGATAATAGCCATTCATGAAGCAAGTAGAGAATGTGTATGGTTGAGATCAGTGATACATTTTATGAAGAAAAATGGACATACGACAATACATTACTCTCTATTTCTTTGCTTGTTCTTTCTTATACTTTAATTTGTTAATCTTAGTTTGCTAAGTAGTTATTTTATACCACATTATCAGCACGAGACTCCGTCAACTCAAGCTACTCTAAATAGATAAAAAAAGGGTAAGAATTTTATCTATCTAAAAATGTCTAGTATTTCTAAACTTAAATTTGTTGCCTTGGATATATCGGGCAAAGGATACTCGTCATGGATACTAGACGTTGAAATCCATCTGGATGCGATGGGTCTGGCAGACACCATCAAAGATAATAACCAGGCATCCAGCCAAGATCGGGCTAAAGCTATGATATTTCTGCGCCACCATCTTAATGAGGGGTTGAAAATGCAATATCTCACTATTAAAGACCCCCTTATACTGTGGAAGAATTTGAAAGATAGTTATGGCCACCTGAAGTTGGTCATTCTTCTACAAGCACGTCATGATTGGTTTAATTTGAGGTTACTAGACTTTAAAAGTATAGTTGAATATAATTCTTCCATGTATAGAATTATATCACAGTAAAATTTATATGGAGAAGATGTCACTAAACATGCTAAACTTGTGAAAACATACTCCACATTTCCTGCCTCGAGTATGCTCCTACTGCAGCAATATCGAGAAATGAATTTTAAAAAATATTCTGAATTACTTTCACATCTTCTTATTGCTGAACAACATAACAAACTTTTAATGAAAAATCATAAAAGTCGGCTCGTTGGTTCTATGCCACTCCCTGAAAAGAATCAGGCAAATTATCACCAACGAGAAAGAGGTCGTGGCTTCGATCATGGTCGTGGCCCCGATCGTGGTCATGGCCCCGATCGTGGTCGTGGCCGTAAAATGAATTATAATCATGATGATCGTCTTGCACCAAAAAATGACCAGCAATATAAAAGGAATGGTGAAAAACAAGAAGCGATGCAAAAGAAAAATTTAGAAAGTGTATGTCAAAGATGTGGAGGAATGGGGCATTGGTCACGTACCTATCGATTATCTAAACGCCTTGTTCAGCTCTATCAGGTGTCCTTAAAAAAAGGTGATAATAATAATCCAGAAGCAAACTTTATCTCCAAAGATAATGTTGAGCCCATACATAAGATTTATAATAATGCAGAAGCAAATTTCATCTCTGAAGATAATGTTGAGCCTATGCATCTGGATGTAGCTGATTTCTTTGTATTCCCTGAAGGAAAAACGATCAGTGACGAGCCCGCTATAATCTAGATAATTTCCTTTTCTGTTTGTTTAGTTGGTATGTTTATGTTTTTCTAATCCTTGTAAATATAAATAGCCCTGTTTAATAGTAATATTTTACTTTGTTTATCTCTGTTTTTGAAGAAAATATGGATATGCCCCAAACTTCGTTTGGATCAATAGCTGATTATGTAGATATTTGTGTAGTTGACAGTGGAACAACACATGCCATATTTAAAGATGAGAAATACTTTTCTTACTTGCTTAGAAGAAAAGCAAATACTATTACAATTTCTGGTAATTCGAAATTCATTGAAGGCTCCGGAAGAGTTACTATATTTCTGCCTAAAGGGACAAAACTTGTTATAGAAGATGCATTATTCTCTTCTAAATCTCCAAGAAACTTGCTAAGTTTCAAAGATATCCGTCGAAATGGATATCATATTGAGACACTAAATGAAATGAATATTAAATACCTTGGTATAACCAAGAATGTCTCAGGCCAGAAATGTGTTTTGGAGAAATTACCGACCTTATCTTCTGACTTATATTATGCAGAAATTAGTAAAATAGAAGCACATTCGATCATAAATCAAAAGTTTACTGATTTAAATGCGTTTATGTTATGGCATGACCGAATAGGTCATCCTGGATCAATAATGATGAGACAAATCATTGAAAATTCAAATGGACATCCATTGAAGAACCTGAAGATTCTTACAAATGATGAATTTTTATGTGCTGCTTGTTGTCAAGGAAAATTGATTACTAAGCCATCACCAATGAAGGTTAACATCGAATCCCCTTAATTTTTAAAACGTATATATGGGGATATATGTGGACCTATTCACCCATCTAATGGGTTGTTTAGATATTTTATGGTCCTAATAGATGCATATTCAAGATGATCTCATATGTGCCTTTTATCATCTCGCAATCCGCGTTTGCAAAATTATTGGCACAAATGATACGATTAAGAGAGGAATTTCCAAATTATCCCATTAAGGCAATTCACCTTGATAATGCTTGAGAATTCACATCCCAAGCTTTTGATGATTATTGCTGATCAATAAGGATAAAAGTTGAACATCATTTAGCTCATGTTCATACTCAAAATGGCCTTGCTGAGTCATTTATTAAACGCTTACAATTGTAGTAAGATCTCTACTTATGAAAACTAAGTTGCCCACTACTGTTTGGGGTCATGTTATCTTGCATGCAACAACACTTGTTCGTCTCAGATCAACTCATTATAATAAATACTCTCCGTCACAATTGGTGTTTGGTCATGAACCAAATATTGTTCATTTACAAATTTTTGGATGTGTTGTATATGTGCCAGTAGCACCACCTCAGCGCACTAAGATGGGCCTCCAAAGAAGGTTAGACATATATGTTGGGTTTGATTCACCCTCTATGATTCGCTACCTTGAGCCATTGATGGGAGATTTATTCACTGCAAGATTTGCGAATTGTCGATTTGATGAAAGAATTTTTCCGCAATTAGGGGGGAAGGAAAAGAAACTTAAAAGTGAAATTGCATGGAAAGTTTTCATCATTATCTCATTTTGATCCACGTACCCCTATGTGTGAACGTGAGGTCCAGAAGATCATCCATTTGTAGAATATAGCAAATCAAATGCCAGACGCATTTACTGATTTGAAAAGGATAACTAAGTCACATATCCCCACAGGGAATGTGCCTACCCGAATTGATGTTCTAACAGGACTATCTAATAGTGTCATAGCTTCTGAATCTCATACATGCCTGAAACGTGGAAGACCATTGGGTTTAAAGGATAAAAATCCTAGAAAAAGAAGTACGAAAAATGACACTACAAAAGAATCTCACGAAGAGATTCAAGATCTGATTAATCTTGATATTCCTGAAGAGATCAGTGAACCCGAGACTCAAGTGATTGAAGAACTTTCAATAAGTTCTACAGGTGATGGACAAATTTAGATAGATCGAAAATCATAGTAGATAATGTTTTTGCATATAATGTTACAGTTAATCTTATGCAAGACAATGAGGATCTTGAGCCTAAATTTGTCGAAGAATATCGACGAAGATATGATTGGCCAAAATGGCAAGAGGCAATTCAATCAAAAGTAGACTCACTTGCTAAACATGAGGTTTTTGGATCTGTAGTCCAAACCCCACATGATGTAAAATCAATTGGCTATAAATGAGTTTTTGTGCGAAAGCAAAATGAGAGAAATGAAATTGTAAGATACAAGACACGCCTTGTTGCGCAAGGATTCTCTCAATGACCCCGTGTTGACTATGAAGAAACATATTCACCGATTATGAATGCAATAACTTTTCGATATCTCATCGATTTAGCTGTACATGAAAACCTTGAAATACATCTGATGGATGTGATTACAACTTATCTTTACGGTTCACTTGATAATGAAATTTATATGAAAATTTCGAAAGGACTTAAAATGCCTAAAGCATATAGTTCAAAATCTCGGGAAATATGTTCAATCAGATTACAAAAGTCATTATACGACTTAAAACAATCAAGGCACATGTGGTATAATCACCTCAATGAGTACTTGACAAAACAAGATTATATAAATGATGTCATTTGTCCTTGTATTTTTATTAAGAAAACAACACCGGGATTTGTTATTCTTGTTGTTTATGTTGATGACATTAATCTCATTGGAACCCCAGAAGAGGTCCAAAAGGCAATTGAATATCTAAAGAAAGAATTTGAGATGAATGACCTTGAAAAGATATAACTTTGTCTTGGTCTACAAATTGAACATTTAGCAGACGGGGTCTTCATCCATCAATCTAATTATATTGAGAAAATCTTGAAACAATTTTACATGGACAAAGCACATCCATTAAGTACTCCAATGGTTGTCCGATCACTTGAAGTGAGTAAAAATCCATTCCGACCCCAAGAAGAGAATAAGGAGCCTCTTGGTCTTGAAGTACCTTATCTTAGTGCAATTGGCACACTTATGTATCTTGCTAATGCTATGAGACCTGACATAACATTTTCTATTAATTTATTAGCAAGATATAGTTCTTCCCCTACACGAAGACATTAGAATGGAGTTAAACATATATTGCGATATCTAAAGGAGACTAGTGATATGGGTTTGCTATACTAACTATTTACATCCCTACTCTATTCAAATAGGCCGAAACGTCGCGATGACTAAATAATTAATCAACGAATTCAATTTAAAAGAATTTTAAAAATAAACAAATTTTAAAGAGAGTCACCACCTAATTTTAGGAAAAACTAGGAAACCAATTAAATTATCTACGAAACTATTAGATTCTAGGTAATGGGTTCAAGTTATTCCGAAGAAAAGGTGTTAAGCATCCTTCAAAATCCACAATTGTAGGTCCCAACTGAGTTCATTTTTTCAAATTGAGAAGGAGATAAAAATAATATACAAATAAAACAAACATACAAGATACACAAGTAATAAAATAAAATAATATAAGAAACAACCTAGATTGTCTATCATCAATAATATACGATAATGAATCAAAATATTGTTCGAACTTTGTTCGAATAGCTTTAATGGAAAACAACTTCGGATACCTGTAAAGACACTTAGTAAAAGTGTTAGTAATAAATAATTATGAATAAAAATAAATAAATTAAACAATAACTTTAAAAATAAAATTCCCTCTTATTAACATGGGAAGCCTTGAAAATCGACGATAATTTCTTCATCGGCCAATTCTATATTTTTCAACCACAAAATGACACGAAACAAACAAAAGAACAATGAAGTATAAACTATATAAGATGCAACAACCTACTAATGAAACATAATAAAATGATAATAATTAAATAATAAACCAACACACACTTGTAACTTCTTAGAAAATAAATAAATCTAGAATAATCTCATGTAAACTAAAATAGAAGCATCAATATAAATTAAATAAACAACCCCAAACAACATACCAAAAATAGAATGGTTAAGAAAATAAAAACAAGTAAATGATTAAAGCGAGACTACCCAAATCATTAAAATAATATAAACACAATCACTAAAAATTAAAGTAACCGCAAAATTAATCAAAACATAGAAAGAATGAGAAAAATTGTAATCAGATTGCAATAGCACAACTTACTGGAAAAATTCTTTAAAGAAAAAATGCATGAAATTAAAAGGAAATAAAATTGCAAACAAAATAAAGCAATCACTAACAAATTATCATAACTTACTAACAAAATTTCAAAGCAATATAAATCTATCCATATAGAGTAGTAAACAACCCAACAATATTAACACAACAATGAACAATAAATAATCAACCAAAGAAAATCACTAACCGAATAAAATTTCAAGTGAAGAACAAGAAAACATAAAGGAAAAAAATGGATAGGCAAACAAGAAGCAAACAAACATCAAAGTAATATCATTGGAGTTGAACTTGCTGGTCAGATTTATTTATAAAAAATAAAGCAATATAAACAGATAAGAATGAACAGACCCCATCAACACATAAAACATTAACAACTCCGAAATGTAATAAAATAAAGAGGAGATCAAGATTGGAGTGCTACCATAGGAAATAGAGAATGACAAAGAGGTCACTGGAGGACTGAGTTTCAGAGCTTGGAGCTCGTTTGGTCACTGGATCTCGCCGACTTTGTTCACCGGAGTTGGTGTCGGCGTTGGTGAAGTGGACCGCTGCTCGCTCCAGTTCATTAGCGCTAAAGCTCCTCGCCAGAGACGAACAGAACCGGGAGAGGGGTTTGGTATTTGGGGATTGTTTGAGCTGCTGGGTTTGGGGTCACTTTTGGTCGAAAATGGGTGTGATGGTCTTTCCGACTTGGAGTTGACCGGAAATGGAGCAAGGGAGAGAGAAGTATGTGGTTTCGCCAGACGGGAGAGAGAACGGGGAGGGGGGGGCTAGTTGTCGTTTTTGGGTCTGGTTTGCTGTTTGCTTGGAGAGAGCTGATGGTTGTTGTTGTTGGCTGTTTTCAGGCGGCTGTTCGGTGGTGTGAACTGGTGGTTTTGGGGCTGAAGGAAATGGG